TTAGAATTAAATTAATTAAAGTCGTATAATTTAAAGTAACATTCCTCGAGGGATCGACAATCCGGACTTAAAAATTCCACTTTATTACTTGTACGCGACCCGTGCACTTGCGGTATATTTTTAAGCGAACAGAGCCCATTGTCCAACAATTGTGTGCCAGCCAATTATACTACTTGAAATGCATGCGTGGTTCTTGATGCGGACCCCCCGCATTATAGTGCAGCCTGAGAGCCAAACTCCAAACTCCACAACACAACAAGGGCCAATTGAAACATCTGGCTGGTCCAATCAAGCAACCAGCTCCAATTTTGGCACTCATCCACTAGGACATTTCCAATAAGGGAAAAATTCATAAATAAGAGTTTTAAGTTTCACTCATTTCAAATTTAAGAACCTAAGGTTTAAAATTTCAAATGTCAATTTTTTTTTAAATTAATCAATTAAAAATATATTTTATTAATTAAATATATTAAAATCACAATTCCATACAATTTGGTCACAAATTATAAATTAATTGCTAACAAATTATTTCACAATCACAAATTGAAAATTTTATAAGTTGCAATTTTTTCATCGATCATAAATTTATAAAATTAATAAGTCACATATTATTCATTGGTCACAGATCATAAATTTTATATATCACAAATTATTTTAACATCACAATTCAAAAATTTTATAGGTCACAATTTGTTCATCGTTCACAAATCAAAAATTGAAACGTCACAATTTATTTATAGGTCACAAATCACAAATGTTATAAATCATAACTTATTAGACAGTCACAAATTATCAAATTATCGATCACAAATTAACATTTTTTTAGGTTACATATTATTTTTTGGTCACAATTTTTTTTCATTGAACGAATATTGTTTATCAATCACAGATTAATTAATTAAATGGTCACAAACAACCAAATAATTTGTGACCACCACCAACACTTGTGACTACCACCTCACCACTGTCACCAACAGCATGGCAACCGAAACCCCATCGCCGGAACCACCACCATCACCACCACCACCCTGCAGCAAATCATCATCTAAAAATACCAACACTACGACAACCACCACTACCCACCCACAACCACCACACTACCACCAATAAAACCACAAAACCTCTACCACCACCCCCTATCCTACAACCCAAAAAAAATCCTCAACCCTACCATCATCGTAGCCGATCACCACCAACACTGTCACCGCAATCACCACCAATCCACAAACACGACAGCAACCTTTGTCACCACCATCTCCATCACAGTCACCACCGTACACAACCCACACCACTCACCCAACCACCACCACAACATACCACCACCACACCACCCACAGCACACCACCACCATTTACACAGCCCTACACGTCGCGACAGATAGAAAATGGAGAAGGGGATGAGGGAGAGGAAAGGGAAAGCAGCACACCACCACTACCACCACTATTTACACAGCCCCACACGTCGCGACAAATATAAAATGGAGAGAGAGTAGGGAAAGGAGAGGCAACATAGGTTCTACTTCTAGTTGTGCGAACGTCACGGCGGTGCACGACGAACGTGTGCAGCGATGCTGTTGTCGCTGTAAGGAATTGATGCGCTGATCGTGTGCATCTGTCGTGTGCCCAAACCAGTTGCGGTCACCGGAGCCAAAGCAGCCTTTCTTTTACTTGTTGACTCGAAGAGAGAGAGAGAGAGAGAGAGAGAGGGGGAGAGAGAGAGAGAGAGATGTGAGTAATGATTTGGGATTTTTAAGGTTTATATAGTATTAAACATTTTGAATTAATATCTCAATTTTGTATAAATAAATTTTAGATATGATTTTTGAAATTGAATTTTTAAAATTCTAGTTGGGTGTAGTTTCCACTTCGAATAATATGAGATCCAAAGGCCAACTTTGGAGAAGCTTTCTCTCTCAAGGAGTCCAAGGAAAGTATTCGTTCACTAATGTAATCATTCGGTTGTCCAATGTCCATCCGAAATTCGGGCACGACCATCGCATATAGCTTTTTTTGGTCTGCAATTTTTGGGAACACCTCTTTCTCAATTGATGTGGGACGTAATTCAATATGATCAAGAATCGAAGGGTTTAGCAGGTAAATGCCAACATTTATCTTGTTTCCCACATAATTTTGGCTTCTCGACGAAACTCTCCACTTGTCCCGTGACTTGTCCATAACAATGACACCATATTTTGAAGGCTCGTCCACCTGTACCAACAAGTAAAATTACCTTCTTGTCACATTTTAGCTAATAAGCGACTTCAAACATTACCATGATGTTACATTGGTCACCATTATAGATGCCTCACCACCATGGGTTTTGTGGAACTCAATAATCTCTTTGAATCGGTACTCACTGATAACATCACTGTTGACAACAAAAAATAGTTTACCAGAACCGTCTATCACTTTATCCCGGGCTAAAGCGATGGGACCCGCAGTTCCAAGTGGCTTTATCTAAAAAGGAAAGATCCAGCTGTAATCTAACAAACTAAACTAATCAAATATTTACAGCGGTTCATTAAAACTAATTTAAGTTGTATCAACTTGCTTGGATCGAGACTTGCACTTGGCTTCCCTTGACTTCAACACTAAAGCTTCAAGGTAAGATTGTAGATTCCAACACCCCCCCCCCCCCCCCCCCCCCCCCCCCCCCCCCCCCCCCCCCCCCNCAAGAGGAGAATGAATATTTATCATTCCCATCTTGTGTATCAAATGATGAAAATGAAGCGAACCAAGCAGTTTGGTGAGGACGTCTCATACCCGATACTTTGAAAGGATGTGGACAATTTTGATCAATCCTTCTTGCAGTTTTTCTCGGACTTAATGACAATCAAGTTGAATGCGCTTTGTCCTTTCATGTTGAACCGGGTTGGATGCAATATCTAAGGTTGGCTATACAAAAAAATGAATATATCAACAAGAGTCAAATTTGCCTTGGACAAAACCAAACTGAATCAATGAAGTAAACAGCTTTGTAAACCATAGTCTTGAGGCTTGTTTTAGGTCATATAGACTCTTCTTAAGATTACAAACTCTTGTGTCATTGGTTGAACAACATCCTTGTGGTAATTGCATGTACACCTCCTCATTTAACTCTCCACGAAGAAAAGTATTATTCACATCAAGTTGATGTAAATACCAATGCTTAGTGGCTGCAATAACTAACAAAGTTCTAATAGCTGTCATTTTGAGAGAAAATGTCAAAATAATCAATTCCTTCCTGTTGGGAATTGCATTTTGCTACTAACCTCGCCTTGTATCTATCAATAGTGCCATCAACTTTAAATTTGACTCGATATACCCATTTACATCCAATTGCAGTCTTATTTGGAGGCAAAAAAGTAAGATCCCGTGTATTATTTAATTCAAGAGCTTTGATTTCTTCAGACAAGGCTTTTTGCCAATGAGGATAAGATTTTGCTTGATTGAAATTCTTTAGTTCAGAAGTAGGAGACAAAGCAGAGGTATAGGCGACATAGTTGGAAGATAGATGTTTTGTAGACAAAAAATTTTGAATAGCATAAGGCTTACCAGATGAAGGAACACAGCAGCTGAGAGAATCATGAGTTGTTGAATCAAATCCGGTCATAGTACCACAATAGAATTGTTGTAGATATGAAGAAGGATTTCTTGTTCTTGACCAGGATTATCGCTAGGGTGTAAATAGTAAGGACTCGAAGAGTCATCGGAAGGATTGATCGGAGGATTAGAACTCAAAGAATTGGTAGTTTCTCTCAATTCTTCCATGGAAAAGGTTTTGATTCAGCTGCGGAAGCTATACTCACGATGATACCATGTAAAATATCATAATCGAAGAGAGGAGAAATGGAAGAACAGATCACTGAAAGATGAAATCAATTTGAAAATATTATTTTCTTACTTGCTTCATTTGTATAGAACTGTATATATATACACGTGCAAAGCAAACTAAAAGGAAAGATCCAGCTGTCATCTAACAAACTAAACTAATCAAATATTTACAGCTGTTCATTAAAACTAATTTAAGTTGTATCAGCTTGCTTGGACCGAGACTTGCACTTGGCTTCCCTTGACTTCATCTCTAAAGCTTCAAGGTAAGATTGTAGATTCCAACAATTACGTCCACATTGCTTGATATCATACATGAACACACAAAACGATACCTCGGATTCCCAAAATGGCCATAAAATCCGGATTCAACTAAAACTCTTAACAGAAACCCAGATGAGCATTCACAAAAACAAAAGAACCCAGGTGAGAATTCAATCAAAAAATCGCCCCTTATGGATCACGGCAGAATTTGAGCGGTCAAAGAAACGCTGTTTCTTTCCCTTACTTTTAACAAACCCCAACGATTCACGTCACGGTCACTCTATCCGGGAGGTGGGATGTGTTGTGGTGGGGGTGTATATATATAAGAATTGATTTTGTTAGGTAAACCGTATTTAAAGGATCATGATTTTCCTTTCCTATAAATTAATTGACGGGAGTATCTGTATTTACAATCATGTTTATTGGAAGCAAGCCTCATTTTTACAGGGAAAAAAAGATGTAAAGTAGAAAGATAAATGAAAGTACATACGATGTAACAGCCCTTACAAACACACAAAATCTAGCCAGATACAAATCTACTGCTATAATTTTAGCCACTGNCAAGAGGAGAATGAATATTTATCATTCCCATCTTGTGTATCAAATGATGAAAATGAAGCGAACCAAGCAGTTTGGTGAGGACGTCTCATACCCGATACTTTGAAAGGATGTGGACAATTTTGATCAATCCTTCTTGCAGTTTTTCTCGGACTTAATGACAATCAAGTTGAATGCGCTTTGTCCTTTCATGTTGAACCGGGTTGGATGCAATATCTAAGGTTGGCTATACAAAAAAATGAATATATCAACAAGAGTCAAATTTGCCTTGGACAAAACCAAACTGAATCAATGAAGTAAACAGCTTTGTAAACCATAGTCTTGAGGCTTGTTTTAGGTCATATAGACTCTTCTTAAGATTACAAACTCTTGTGTCATTGGTTGAACAACATCCTTGTGGTAATTGCATGTACACCTCCTCATTTAACTCTCCACGAAGAAAAGTATTATTCACATCAAGTTGATGTAAATACCAATGCTTAGTGGCTGCAATAACTAACAAAGTTCTAATAGCTGTCATTTTGAGAGAAAATGTCAAAATAATCAATTCCTTCCTGTTGGGAATTGCATTTTGCTACTAACCTCGCCTTGTATCTATCAATAGTGCCATCAACTTTAAATTTGACTCGATATACCCATTTACATCCAATTGCAGTCTTATTTGGAGGCAAAAAAGTAAGATCCCGTGTATTATTTAATTCAAGAGCTTTGATTTCTTCAGACAAGGCTTTTTGCCAATGAGGATAAGATTTTGCTTGATTGAAATTCTTTAGTTCAGAAGTAGGAGACAAAGCAGAGGTATAGGCGACATAGTTGGAAGATAGATGTTTTGTAGACAAAAAATTTTGAATAGCATAAGGCTTACTAGATGAAGGAACACAGCAGCTGAGAGAATCATGAGTTGTTGAATCAAATCTGGTCATAGTACCACAATAGAATTGTTGTAGATATGAAGGAGGATTTCTTGTTCTTGACCAGGATTATCGCTAGGGTGTAAATAGTAAGGACTCGAAGAGTCATCGGAAGGATTGATCGGAGGATTAGAACTCAAAGAATTGGTAGTTTCTCTCAATTCTTCCATGGAAAAGGTTTTGATTCAGCTGCGGAAGCTATACTCACGATGATACCATGTAAAATATCATAATCGAAGAGAGGAGAAATGGAAGAACAGATCACTGAAAGATGAAATCAATTTGAAAATATTATTTTCTTACTTGCTTCATTTGTATAGAACTGTATATATATACACGTGCAAAGCAAACTAAAAGGAAAGATCCAGCTGTCATCTAACAAACTAAACTAATCAAATATTTACAGCTGTTCATTAAAACTAATTTAAGTTGTATCAGCTTGCTTGGACCGAGACTTGCACTTGGCTTCCCTTGACTTCATCTCTAAAGCTTCAAGGTAAGATTGTAGATTCCAACAATTACGTCCACATTGCTTGATATCATACATGAACACACAAAACGATACCTCGGATTCCCAAAATGGCCATAAAATCCGGATTCAACTAAAACTCTTAACAGAAACCCAGATGAGCATTCACAAAAACAAAAGAACCCAGGTGAGAATTCAATCAAAAAATCGCCCCTTATGGATCACGGCAGAATTTGAGCGGTCAAAGAAACGCTGTTTCTTTCCCTTACTTTTAACAAACCCCAACGATTCACGTCACGGTCACTCTATCCGGGAGGTGGGATGTGTTGTGGTGGGGGTGTATATATATAAGAATTGATTTTGTTAGGTAAACCGTATTTAAAGGATCATGATTTTCCTTTCCTATAAATTAATTGACGGGAGTATCTGTATTTACAATCATGTTTATTGGAAGCAAGCCTCATTTTTACAGGGAAAAAAAGATGTAAAGTAGAAAGATAAATGAAAGTACATACGATGTAACAGCCCTTACAAACACACAAAATCTAGCCAGATACAAATCTACTGCTATAATTTTAGCCACTGTTCTACATCTGAACTAATCTGTAGCCTTGGCAGTAGCAATACTGATAATATATTCGATCTCCTCAGCAACTTCTTTCATCGAAGGCCTGCTTTGTCTGCGTTCCTCCAAGCATCCAACGGCAAGAAATCCCAACGCTTTCATCGTCTCCAACTCCAACGTGCTTGACCCCTCCTTCAACAATGGATCAACTGCGTCCATTATCCTTTCCTCCTCAACCAATCTCTGCACGTAAACTGCCAAGTTCACATCATCCTGGGGTCTATTGAAATCAATAGCTTTCTGCGATGTCAATAGCTCCAATAAAACAACCCCAAAGCTATAGACATCACTCTTGTCTGTCAACTGGTAGTTTCTGTAATACTCGGGATCGAGGTATCCTAGCGTACCCTGAGCACAAGTGGATATGTGACTGAGGTCTGTATGAGCTAATCGAGATAACCCGAAATCTGAAACCTTTGCTTTCATCTTCTCGTCAAGCAAAATGTTGCTCGACTTCACATCCCGGTGATAGATGGGAGGAACTGCAGAGAAATGAAGGTAAGCAAGTCCCTCAGCAGTTGCATGAGCAATGTTGAGTCGGTGATTCCAAGAGAGAAGCCCCCGATTTCCACCTTGTAAATTATCTAAGAGAGTTCCATTTGGGACATATTCGTAAACCAGTAATGCGACAAGTTCGAGTTGCGTTGTCGGGAGGAGGCGGACAAGGCTCTTGTGGTTAACTTGACAAAGTATTCGAACCTCATTAAGGACTTGGTCGGTTCCTTTGGTGTTACCCAATTTGGCACATTTGACTGCAACAACAGTTCCATCTTCAAGAATGCCTTTGTAGACTTCACCATAACCACCGGCACCAAGGAGGTGGTCTTTGGAGAAGTAATTTGTTGCCTTCTTAATTTCTTTGCCAGTGAAAACTTTTGCAGATTTTCCACCACCGGAATTAAGGATCTCTTCCCGTTCTCGGGTAAGTCGTTCTTTCTCTCTCTTGATGCGCTGGTGCCTCTTGTAGAATAAAAATCCGATTAGTGCCGCTAATAATGCTACACCAATGCATACAATTAAACCTGCATCCATCACAAAATTGGTAAGCAACCAATTCATGATTGAAGTTGGGCTAGATAGCTTCTAGTTGTCCTGTTATTATTAAGGGAACGGTTTCTGCCAATTGAATTAATCAGTAAAACTGTAATCCCAAAGTAATAAACGTTGGTTCATTAAATTGCCAAGAAAGAAAGTTATCGACTGGCTACCTGGATGCCAAAAATAGAACAGAATTATAATATCAATGAACATATTACATATCAAATTTTCAGCTATGAGTATGCATCAATTATTCAAGAGTAGAACTGGGGATATTTAGGATGCCACCTTTGGTTTTGAAAATTACCAGTAGTCAAAAAAATTCTGCTTCCAGTTCGTTGTGATTAGAAAAGTAATCGAATTGGTGGTAATTTATTTTTGCTCTAATAGTAGATGAAAACATGGGTAATTTTCAATTGAATGAAGGGTCATGGCCAGCTGAGAATACCATAATAAGAAGATAAATCTAAAAGATTGTTTACATGGTGACAAAAGCTTGTCTGAAAATTGAAGGTAACCATGTAAGGGTATAACAATATGTACCTGCTATAAGCCCAGTTCGATCTTTACCACAACCATCTGGATCCTTGCACTCTGCACATTAGAAGCAATCAAGTTAATCAGATGACAACTACAAAATCATAGAATACGGTTTGTACAATTTTAGCCCTATATGTTTATAGGCACTGAACAGTAACACATAATGCTGCTTGTTTCGAAGAGTATAAGGTTTTTTTACACTTTCAATTTTTTTATTCTGAATCTAAAAATAGAACAAATGGAGAGTTTAATATTCAATCTAGAAAGGATCGTGCTACAAGTACATAATCATTTATATAATACATTACATGATTGACACGTGACACGCATCCATCGATAATCTACAATTTTTTACTTTTCCACATCTCACATCTATGGCCGAATTTCTTCCACGTGGACTATGTAATCGATTATGTACATATAGATTTATCCATATAGAAAATAGTAAAAGCAACATCGAGAGACTTACCTGTCGCACACAGTCCAGCAACCGGGTCCCATTGCAACCCCGAGTTACAAAAGCACCTGCTGACCCCACGAGCCGAGTTCGGGTCGGGTCCACAAGTGGATTTCGAATCGCAATCCCCTTGTGCCCTACAGGTGGGCTCTATGGGCAAAACCCACTGCAATTCCACTCCAGGCGGCGGCCACCTGCTTACCGGCAATCCGTAATCCAAATTCACGAAGCTCCTGTACGCCTTGCAACCCGAATCCCTGACTCGTATCCTGTAAGCCGTTGTCGATCCTCCTGCCCTGAACGCACAACACAGCGGCGCATCGACACATCCACTCCCGGCCGTGCCGTTGATGTACACGTGGCAGAGGCTGTTGGAGGTGCAGTCTAAAGGGGAGTTCATTATGCTGGAGGAGCAATTCAGGTAGAATATGGTGTTACTGCTGGTTATGTTGAAGGGGGCGGAGTTGTTGAGCTGGAGGCCGTTGGACGGGAGATCGGATGCGATGCAGGTGTTGCCGAGGAAAGGAGAGGGAGCAATGGTGAGGCGTTGAATAGATGGGGAGATGGAGGTGATTGGGTAAGTATTGTTGACGGAGTCGAACAAAAGGGATTCAGCGTTGCATCGGATTTTATACAACGGGTCGCCGCAGTCTGGAGCGGTGCTGAGAGGGTACGGGACTGGTGTGGAGCCACAGTTGGGGCAGACTTTGAGGGACAGTGCACACACGGCGTAGGTTAGTACAACCGCCGTTGTTAAGAGAACTGGTTTAGAGGTCGTAAGCGTCATACTGGGGGGAAGAGGCGGCCGCGGTAGTGGTAGCGGGATGAAGGTCGAGAGCGGGTGGTTGCGTGTTATATATGTTGGTGGGAAGTGGGCGCTCTTAAAATTTTATTTCTAAAATTATGTTTGGGTCAAATGTATGACATTTGAGGATTCTGAGGATATTGTGGGAAATAATTAATTATTCAGTCATAATAGCGACCTAATCACCTAAAGACCAAATTATGGGAGTGCAAATTAATGGAATCTTTCACCAGAGGTCACCAAACTTAGAGGTTTCTCTCATATTGGCCACAAAACTTCAATCTATTTCAATTTGATATATTGTTTACAATGTAAAGAAATAATGATGAAATATATATCTTGGTCAACATAATTCATAACCCAAGTTATATTTTTGACAACACAATCTTTTTTAAGCGCTAAAAAGTACAAATTTTATGTTTTTGTTTTGAAAGGGCTAAATTCAATTTTGATAGTAAATGAGTGCATATAAATACTTGATCCATTTTATTAGATAATTAAGACATATCGTACATCATATTTATAAGATCATGAATTTCATCGAACGGGATATGAGTTCCATCAATTTTGGTAAAATTTTAAAATGGAACAATCGAATTGATATGATATATATGTTGGATGATTAAATTAAAATTAATTGAAGTTGAGTAACTAATATGAAACAAACATATAAGTTGGGTGACCTCTTAAAATAATGTTAAAGTCAAACATTTTTCGAGCAGAATTTTTCATTTTCGGTCTTTTGTCTTGAACTTGTTATTTCTTTCACGGTCTTCAAATATACTTTTGACATTTAGGCATTAACTCTTCTTAGTAAATGAAAAATTGTCTAAGTTGTTATATATTGAAGTGTTAAAAAGTGCATTAGTTAAGAAAGATAACATGTTAAAGTGTCAGTGATGCGTTAGGAAGATAGACCAAAATTCTGTATTATATTCTATGAAAAATTGTCTTTAAAAGAAAAATGTTATCTTCTAGAATTCTAGTAAACAAAGGCAGCTTACCAATCCAAGAAATGACAAAAAATGTCTATTGACTTTGAGGGCCATCTAGAAGAATGAGGACCTCTCAAAAGTCTTTCTTTAATTGGGATAATTGCATGTGAGATTTTAAATCTTTTATTTTGTGTTAATCATAATTTCAAATCTTTCATTTGTTACGGATTCCATCCATCTCTACACTGGTTGATCAAAAGTCAACCATCTAACGATCAATTTTAAAAGGATAAAATGAAAAATTTATATTATTCTATATAAAATAATTATATATATAAAGAACAAAACAAAATGAAAAATGTACACCCCACACCCTCCATAATAATTATATAGCCTGGGTAACTACAGAGTAGATCATCCTCCATTTTTGTATTTTTTGAAAAGAAGACGTAGTATTTTCATGATGTTATTGATGAACATGATAATCCATATTGATTTTTCAATTCATTTTTTGGAAATATTTGGTTTGAATATGTGTATTAAAGTGGGATTAAATTCATCAATGACTACCCAACTCCAATTTGATTTATTTTACCATAACTACCCAACTTTATATTTAGTGTCATCATAACCACTCAATTTGATTTTATTTTCTCATAATTACCAAATTTCATATAACGTTTTATCATGATCTCCTAATTCAATATAACATTTTATCGTGGTCACCTAATTTGTTCTTTATTTTTCTTTTCTTTTTATTTAAATATGGGATATATTTGTAATTTTACAATTTAGTTGAGAAATTGGATAAAAGTTGATGAAAATGGCGTTTTCCACGTTGAAACGTGGAAATAGGGTTGGAAATACAAAAAATTGAAAATACGGACGTTTTGCACACTAAAGACCAAAGTATGGACGTTTTATGCTATTAAACCTCCCAAGATTTATATAACACGTGATAATTCAGTGTCCAACTGAAAATTTTCTTAGTTTTCTAATTTTTTTTAATTAGGACAATTACATAAACCTCCATGAAGTTTATGATATTTCAAAGACAAACATCCTATTTTTTAAAATTAAAACAAAATTATACTTTTCCAGAAGTTTAGGACAATTTTTTATAATTTTTTTTGTTCGTAACAATGGATACTTCTCCTAAAGTTTATGATAATTATAGAGACACTCCCTTTTTACATATTAATATACCCTTTATTTCAAGTTTTAAAATAGTACACCTCTCAACAATTTTTCTGTCGTGTATTAATATTAATAATAGTAATAATGTTTAAAATACTCTAACAAACAATGTTCCATTTATGGCTTCTTTAACTAAATTAACAACAAAGTATTGTGTATACCATTGATTCTTCAAAAATATATCAACAAATGCTCTAATTTAAGTTACTTAAATTACACTTATATACGGGCAAATAATTTTTAAAGTTCATTTCAAGTTTCCAATCAGAAGACATAACGATATTTTAATAAAAATAAAAAAGGATAAACACTAGTAATAAATTTACAAATCTTTGAATATTGAGGAATTGCATTATTTATAAAAAAAATATATAGGAAATTTTTATATATTCAACTACATTAATTACATTTTCTTAATTTGCGTGAAAATATAAACAAACATATCTTTATGGGATACAGTGTGTATTTAAGATGAAATCAAAATTGGAATCCCTTTATTTTGTGTTTTCCAATATAATTATTCAAGCACTGCCACAGCATCAACTGGTACAAAGAGGAGGCACAATAGCGAAGATCAATCCATCTCAATTTACAAAAAAGCATTGCCCCTCGAGCCCGAAACTAAATGAAAATTTCTCTCCCTCATCAACCTTCAAATGATTCGGTGCCCAGTCATGAAAGAGAATTCGCAGGAGGCTTGAGCGTGCCCACTATTTCGCGCGACAATCCGCATCGATGTAATGAAAGTGAATGACCCATGACAATGACGGAACGACCTGGAGGGATTGACCTTTCTAACGCATATTCAGTCGTATCGGATTCTATAACCGCATTTTGCCTTTTCGAAGACAAAGCACTCGTGGCACACACGCTATATACACGAGGATTATTTTGAAAAATTGATGGTCTAATTTTTTATTTTTTTATTCAGTTAGAAGTGTTAAAATGGTATATTAAGATATTGCCTTATTGTTAAAGGAACCACAAGATGGAAGAAAGTTCATAAGGAAATTTTAAGCACTATCACTATATTTTATACTATTGTGTAAAAGTTATGTGATATGTGATTAATGGAGTTATGTATTATTATAAAACTCAATATATGAAAGTTTTTGTAATTTTTGAATAGGGAGAGATGTCTCTGAAATGTCATTGACATCAGGAAATGTGTATGTTATTCAAAACTTAAAATAAGAGAAGTTTATAGAGAAAAATATCCTAAATCCTACATTTTAAGTTTCAACTTCAAAAACCAGGTTTTTAAAACTGAAAAACGAGATACAATTATTTTTTATTCAATAATTAGGTAATAATTAATATTTAAAAAATTATATGTATTTTTCTATTCTCTCTCCCCACCTCACCCCACCCCACATTTTTCACTAGATTTTCATGTCCACAATCTACCATCAACTTCACTCGCCACCCGTTGCCTACAGCTACCTACACCACTCCCAAATTCATCCATCGCCTACTACAAAAAATATGTCTTTGTTGAAAGGTATACTATTTCGCTCTTACTCTAACTCTCACCCACTCCTTTTTTAGCTATAGGTTTTATCTCAAAAAACCTGTTCAATTTTCTCGTGATCTTTTCATTTATGAGATCCTCATAAGCTGTTGCAGATATAAGAATTGTATGTGTATGTGGGAGTGATTTAAAGGTTGGTTACGCTGAAGGTGGTCCTTGTTAGTTTGAAGTAATAATTTATTTTGATTATTTCAGATATATTAAGTCTTTTGAAAAATCTGTTGATTTAGAGTCTATTTGATTTTTTAAGATATATTTGGTTTGTGGATTGGGGTGCAAGTGGTGGTGGTGTGTTGTGGATTTGAGGTGGTAGCGACGTTTTGGAGTGGTGGAGGTGGTGGTGAGAGGTTGTGGATTTGAGGTGAGGCGAGGCGAGGCGACAGTAATGAGATGGACTTGGCTTATTTTATAGACGATTGCAAAGATGTCAAATGGAGCGAGCAAGCTAGCATTTTCACTTGCGTACAGCTCTCATGACTAGCTCGTGAGGTGAAAAAAATTAAAATTTCAATTTAATTTAAAAATAAAAATTAACTTTGGGCAAGTCAAGCCACAAAATTTTAAAATAAGCTGCATGTGTAGCTCGTGCTAGGCGCTAAGGCTGACTCATTAACACCACTAGATGAGAGGCTCATAAGTCCACCTTGCTCATAATGTTTCGTTAGTCCATTAAATTGAATAAATCCTACTGGTGCATGCTTTAGTCTAATAGACTTGGGGACTGTTTAATATGTTATCAGTGTAACATATTTTTTATACAGTCAAATAACACATTCTTCTAGTTACCAAAACCCTTGGGCCTATCTTGAATAGAGGAATGGGTGAATTCATCACCCTCAAACTAACATATTACTTCCTTTGTGTTTTAAGATTTTAACTTTTAAGTATCGTCGTCAAAGAAAAGTTACGGTAATAAAAACTGTTGATTCGACCTCTATCAAAAGTAATAATAGAATATCTACATATGCTATAATTAAAATTTTGATTTACGATATTAAAAGAAATATAATTGTGAAGAATTTATTTATTCTATTGTTGAATTTTAATTGTAATTTCAACAAAATATACAATCTTAAACTAAACTACCATAATTCTACGACTTCAAGTATCCTAAAAAAGGTTCTATATTATTCTTGATTGAAATCAAGCACGATCGAGTATGAAGTTCTTAGTCGATTGGATTGTCAAGTAACTCAATTAAGTAATCTTATTGTAGCTAGCCTAGCAAGATTAACTATAGTCTATAGTTTGAGATCCATGATAGATAACTACTCAGTGACATCAATTGTTGCAACACTGATAATGTATTCAATCTCCTCAGCAACCTCCTTCATAGAAGGCCTGTTTTGTGTGTGTTCGTTCAAGCATCGTACAGCCAGAAACCCCAAAGCCTTTATGCTCTGAAACCCCATGTTGCTTACTCCTGTCCTAGTCAACATTGGATCAACCACGTCCATTATCCTCTCCTCCTCCACCAATCTCTGCACATAAGCGGCCAAGCTCACGTCATCCTCCTCTCTATTGAAATCAACAACTTTCTGAGATGTCAATAGCTCTAATAAAACTACCCCGAAGCTATAGACGTCGCTCTTATCTGTCAACTGGAAATTTCTAAAGTACTCGGGATCAAGGTATCCAATTGTGCCCTGAGCACATGTCGATATGTGACTCAAGTCTGCGTGGACCAATCGAGATAATCCGAAATCCGAAACCTTTGCATTCAGCTTTGAGTTGAGCAAAATGTTGCTGGATTTCACGTCCCGGTGATAGATTCGGGGAACTGCATCGAAGTGAAGATAAGCTAGACCCTCAGCAGTTTCATGGGCAATGCTGAGCCGGCGAAGCCAAGAGAGAAATCCTTGCTTTTCACCTCTTAAATGATCGAACAGAGCTCCATTCTGAACGTACTCATAAACCAGTAATGGCTGTTCAAGCTCAACGCAGCAGCCAAGGAGGCTGACAAGGTTCTTGTGGCTAACTTGACAAAGTATTCGGATCTCGTTTAGAACTTGTTCCGTACCTTTGGTGTTACCCAGTTTTGCACATTTGACTGCCACAACAGTTCCATCTTCAAGAATTCCTTTGTAGACTTCACCAAAACCACCAACGCCAAGAAGATGATCTTTAGAGAATTGATTTGTTGCCTTCTTAATTTCTTTGCCAGTGAAAAGTTTTGCTGATTTGCCACCACCAGCATTAAGGATTTCTTCACGTTCTCGAGTAAGTCGTTCTTGCTCTTTCTTGATGCGCTGGTGCCGCATGTAGAATAAAAATCTAATCAGTGCTGCTAAGAGTGATATACCAAGGCCCGTAGTTAAACCTGCATCACTCCCAACAATCAATTAATGATTGAAAGTTGTCTAGCAATCTTGTTAAATTATTGCACTGCTACAGTTGAGGAGAAACGCATATGCTCGCTAACGTATAGGGTTGCTGTGCAAACGATCCCTAACCTTCAAATTTTGGCACAGACATGTGATGTCTAACCTTTCACGTAATAGACACAATTGGTATTTTTCGACAATTTCCATTCAATTGACCATTAAAATGTCAAATTTTGGCTAAAATGCCTGTTTTAGTTAAATAAATAAAATAAAACACGTAAAATTGAAATTTAAAAAAATATAAGAAACAAAAGAAAAATCAATTTATCCTACCAACCAATCTCACATAAGAGCATCTCTAATATAATCATGGATTACATAAAAATAATAATAATAATAACTATTGGTAGATTTCAAATAGTTATCACGTCCATTTGAACGAAATTCGTGTAAACACGTGTTACGAATAAGATACTTTTATTAATATTTAAGTTTCCACCGTGCATCAAATCAACAATCCAAGTCCACAAAAATTATTCGAACAAGAAACCACCTTTGACTCATAAACATCTAATTGCTTGTTCAGATTCATACGAATAGCAATACAAATGGTGGGAGCAAAGATAAGTAAAAAAGAAATATCACCAAAAAAATATATCAATTCATGGTTGTTGACAGTGATTTTCTTTCATATTACCCTTTTAACTTGATAACATAGTCATCTTTCTAACATATATTGACATTACAACACTGTAAGTTAGATTTATGGATTTATTTTTACTATGATATCGAGGAAAACATTACTTATGTCGAGCAAATTACTGCTTCTAGTGGAGGATAATTAACTTTCATTTTTTTTCTTGAGCATAAATATGTATTCTTTCTCTTCTATGCAAGAGTCATGACGAGGTCGGAATGACATTATAAGACCACCAATTAAGGACTTCAGTCTTATAACAAATCTCATTTATATGATTGACACGTATTTAGATCTTCATAACGGCCTCTTCAAGCTAATAAAAAAAAGGTACCTGTTATAAGGGCGATTCGATCTTTATCTGGACCTTGATACACTGCATATTAGATTTAACCGAGCTAATCAGAAGACATTTGCAAAACTAGAGCGGAAAAAAAAATCCCAAGAAAAGTTCTGTACAAACAAGGATTTGAGAGAACTCACCTTTAATACACTGTCCAACAACCGAGTCCCATTGCAACCCGGAGTTGCAAAAGCATCTTTTGATCGCACCATTCGAGTTCGGATCGGGACTACAAGTGGATCCCGAATCGCAATCGCCTAGTTCCCCACAAGTGGGCTCTCTGGGCAAACGCCACTCCAACTCCACTCCAGGCGCCGGCCACCTGCTCACCGGTAAACTGTCATCCAAATTCACGAAGCTTCGGTACGCCCCGCAACCAGACTTCTTGAACCCTATATTGTACCTAACCACAGAGGACCCCGCCTGCAACGCACAACACACCTGCGTATCCACGCAGCCGCTCCCGGCCGTGCCATTGATGTACTTGTGACAGAGGTTGTTGGAGGTGCAGTCTAATGGGGTGTTGAGGACGCCAATGGAGCAGTTGAGGAAGAAGACGGTGTTACTGCTGGTGATGTTGAAGGGGGCGGAGGAGTTGAGTTGGAGGCCATCGGAGGCGAGCCAATCTGACGTGATGCATGTGTTGGCGAGGAAAGGTGAGGGTTCTATGGTGAGGCGTTGATTGGTGGGGGAAATGGAAGTGATTGGGTAAGTGTTATCGAGGGTGTCGAAGAAAAGGGAGGTGGCGTTGCACCTGATTTTATACGACTGGTCACCACAGTCTGGAGCGGTGCTAAGAGGATAAGGAACTGGGGTGGAGCCGCAATTGGGGCAACCCTTTAGGGCGAGTACACGTACGGCGTATGTTAGTATGACCGTCGCTGCTAAGTGGAGGCGTTTGGAGGTGGTGAGCGCCATAATGGTTGCCCACCTTCCGTATGATTTTGAGTGTTAATATAGTGGAAGCTTGGCTTTACGAATTATGTTTCCTTTTCCGTTTATTTAATTCTCGGGACAGAGGCACACTTGGGCAAGGGTGGTCAGTGGCCCACCCAAAAAAATCTGATTTTTTTTTTTTATGGAAAAACTATATGTATACAGATTTCTCAAATGCATTTCTAAACTACAAAGTCAGTTTTGACACTCAATCAGTTTTGAAATTTCAGACTTTTTGATATTCAATTTTGAACCAAAACATTTTCTCCTATCCTTTTATGAAGTTCTCCATAAATCCAAAACCTAACCTAACCCATTGGCACGTGTTCATTTATTTCTAAATTTCTATGACATGAGACTCTTCCTAAACATTAAAAATAATAAATATACATAATAAATTAATTTGAATTTTTATTGCATTTGTCGAGGTGATTTTATAAAGATATAATTGTTTCTTTTCGGTAATATTGTTGGATGATTTGTTTTCATGAATATCCTTCTGGATATTGACTGGCTTGATTTTTATTTTAAAACCGTGCAATAGAACAACCACTAGAAATCGAATTTCTACATATAAAACAATTTGTACTTGATTATATAAGGTTAAAATTCAATATTGATAAGTTGGACAGTGTAATTTTTTCCATTTCAATTTTAAATCCTTGAAACCCTACCCATCTTCTCTTCACTTTCTTAAATATTTTGCAAATTCGATTCCAATTGACGACTGAGAGTAATCATCATACACCACCGGCCGTCGATGAGATTGTCTCTCTTTCTCTAGCAACTTCTGATTCTCCTCTTCTATTGAATTTGGAGATATTTCATATTTGTCAATTGTCAAGACTTATCACTAATTCCGCAGCATAATCACTGAAAATAAACTACAACCCCATATCGAGAAATCATTGAAAATTAGCAGAGAAAATAATTAGGGAACTCATGCTATAATTTTTGGAATACATCTTAAATGAAGAACCATAATTGTTCAATGCAAGAATAATTTAGCTAAAAAAGTTGATAAAAATCAACAATTAATTATACTCAAAACTTTTTATAAGTTTTCAACTACATATATCATCAACTTTTACCAAAATCTACTAAAATTTTAATTTTTAGCAAAATCAAATTGGAGCATAATTTATTTTTTCTCCAATATGAAAATGAAAATTAAATCAATTATCTAGAGATGTCAAAAAAAACTTGTTAAACACAATACTCGCAGTGCCCGTCATTAACCAATGTCATTGTCAGCATACACTTCTATTACAAAATCATAAGTTTGATCTTGATTATGAACGGCGATTACACAAGGTGTGCGAATACAAATTGTTGAAAGATATAAAAAAAAAATACTTCTATTTGTTCCAACGAACTATACCGCATTAGCAAAATAGTTATTGAAAGAGGTGTAAATAAGAATGCTAAACATTTTGAAAATAACATTACAGTCAATAGTGAAGAATACGTGGCATGATGAATAAAACGTAAAAATGTAACGGATACGATTGAAAATTCATTAATTAATGACCACCATGTGTCACAAAAGATAAAATGGCTAAATGACCGTCGACTTCGTCAGATATCTATAAATAGTCATGAATTTAGGCAAAAAATTGAATTTACACAATTTCCGTCCCAGCTCGTATTTTCAGCAAATTTCATTGAGTTTAGGGAGAAAAAATATTTGTAATGAAAGAATATTTCACGAAAATCACTCTCATCATAATACCTTACCTAAGAGCATGTTTGACAAAGTTTGAATTATAATTCAAGTTTATCAAATATACTTTTTATCGACTCATTTCGCAGGACCTACAATTTATTACCTATTTAATATTTACACATTCCTTAAAATCCGCATATTACAAATTATAAACAATTAAAAAACTTTACCTCAATTTGTTGATTGTCCATTTGTGATGGTAGGAAAATGAAATTGCATAGTCTAATATGTCGTACAATAGAAGGCAACAGTCAATAGATTGTCAGAAACGTAGTCAAGGTCATATTTTTAATACTTGTCCAAGAAGAGGGTGGCCCAAACAGGGGCATCAATCTTGTCCGCGAAGGAAAAATTGATAAGCTTTAAAATCAACATCTCAACCAATTTAAATTGCAAAAATCTATGAAATATAAATATCATAAATATTCGTAATTATCAAATTAAAATTATTTATTTCATTTTATATCTAAAAATTAAAACAAAATGAATTTTTTCAAAATTTAGTAAACAATATATATTTTTCTTTTGTTTTAATTAAGCAATTACATTTTGAAAAATGAAAGATTAACTTTCAAATTATATTTAATTAAAGAATTTTAAATTAATTAATATATTAAAATGAAAAAAAAAATAAGAATTTGATAACACGTTAAAAAAGAATTTTTTTGTCTGTTAACGGACCAAATGCAAATGGTTTGTTAACATGCCAAATTTCGTGAGACCATTTTTGTTAATAGAAGGGTCGATTAATAATTAAAAAATGGGGCTGTCAGTTTTCTTATGAAGAGAAAGTAGGGGTATTTTTGACTTTAACTTGTCTAAAGTTATACTTTTAAGTTTTTTTTTTTAACCGGTCAAATGCCATATATGAAATATGGCATTTTCTTTCGGCCATTTGCAGGTATTTCCTCGCCATCACATAGGGTTATACGAGACACAATTTATTTTGTTTCTTATTCCAATTCAATTTCTTTTTAGAAAATAATTATGACATGAATTTTGACCCATTTCTTGAAATATAAATATATACTTTCATTATTCATGGGGTAAGCTGAGAGATTCTTGGGTAAAAAATTATATATCTTAAAAAGAGGAGCAAAAGAATATCCTTTGAATATATTTCATATTTTTTAACAAGCTTTTTCGATCTTTTGATTTAAAACACCCACTCCATTCTAAATTTCATAGATGTTTTCTTGGGTTGAAAATGAAGATACTTAGGAAATAATTAAAGAACCATGGTAAGAATTCAAGATTATCTCTCTCTCTTCCCAAATTTCAATCGGGATGATCTTGTATTGATTCAATTCTTTATTATTATTATTATTATTATTATTATTATTATTATTATTATTATTATTATTAGCTAATTGTGTAGATGCTAGAACAATATTGAAACCTATATTTTAGTTTTTTTTTAAATTAATTTCCATATTTTGACATTAAATATTTATTTGGTTGAATATTTGTTAGGAGTATAATGTTTTCAATTAATTGATCACTAATTGATTAGATTCGTGATTTATATTGACATTCGGGTGAAGGAATATGAATCCAGCATAAGTGGCAATTTTTGTAAAGTCCAATATACGTTAGAATTAATTGTCTATGTTCTGTATGATCTCATTAAATGTTCTTGTGACTTAAATAGCTTCATATGCCCGTATTCTATGGTCCAAGTTAGTTTTAAATGTGTTGTGCATAGTTTTGGGGGGGGGGGGGGGGGGTTGGGATGATATTGTATTTTGTTTAAAAACATGGTTGATCACTCATCTTTATTTTATCTCAACTTAGTTACTGAAGTAAGCGTTTGGTCCAATTACATTACAAATTATGCTTATTTTAATATTTTAGCGATATAGCTTCAGTGGATAACAAAATTGAGATTTTTCCAACATAAAAATCTCAAAGTTGAATTGAAGATAAAGACTAGTCAATTCTCCAACTCCAAAAGATCAAAATGATAAAGGCCATTAATACCATTAAATATTAGACTCCAGTCCAGTTGATTGATCTCAATTAGATAACGACTAATGTAGAAAAATGTGGGTGAAATGTCACGTAATGAAACGGCTCGAAACAACTAAGGCATATATGAACGCTAAAATAGTATCAGTACCCTTAATTCGAGTTTCTCATTATCAGTCATCAAAATATTGCGTGCATCACATGACTTATGTTTTTCTAACCATACCTTTTACGAGCACATATGATACAAACATCTCTAATCTATAATCCAAGAAATTACCGATCTTCTGCAATTAGCAACAAATATAACATTGTCTTCAGAACAATAATCATCATCAAGTTCATATCATTTGAGGCATCTTGACTTCTCTTTTCTTCAAGATAATTCTTCGATTCCTAAAAGTTTTTCTTGATATGTCCCTTCGCGTGACAGTGGTAACACTCCACGTCTATTGTTAAACGAGATTGAGAATGGTCATTATCTCTCTAACCATAATTCCTTTCTCGTGATTCACCATTTGACTTTTTAATATTAGCTATCTCTAACAAAGCAGTCAAAATCTCATTCATTGTCTAAGTAAATTTTCCAAGTAACAATGTGTCACCTTAAGTGTTTTTTAATACTGTTTGGGCTTCATTTTAATTTTAATGCTTTTTACACGTAAATCCAAAAATTTTCATTCATTTTTCGCCCTTGTTTGGTAGCCAACTTTTCTAGAAAAAAATTGTTTTAAATAGAGAATTTTTGGAGGTGTGGTAAAAAAAAAAAAATTGAGTTCGTTGAGAATATTTTTATTGAGTGAATGTGGTTGAAAACGAGTATATAGAAAAAATAATTTTTAAAGAGTTGGAGACAAACATGAACCTAACCACACATTCTCCAAAAACTTATCATTCAAAAATACATTTTTTTCAAAATTACATTTTAATGGAGCCAAAACAAGGGCATAACCTATTTTTTAGATACTCAGAAATATAACTTTTCAATTTTTTTCCCTACACAAAACTAGAACACTAAACGTACGGCACAAAACAAATAAGGTCTTACCATCTTTCTTATTTTCTAAGCCATTTCTCTTGGCATCACCTTCTCCCACTAGATTTCCTAAAGATGATTCAACTTAAGATAAATAGCAGATGTAGAAAAATTTAAGGGTAATATCACGCGGCAGAGCAATTAGCAGATGAAACACTTAGCATGTCCAAAATGATAAATTGAACTTGATCTAGTAAATCACATAAATATACAACCTGCATAATGTGTATCAGTTACATACATGAGAAAGCT